TGCAGACCTATGTATGGGGTAGGGGTGGGCACAGAGAAGCTACAGAGGTCATGAGGGATGGTCATGTTTATTATCTTGATTATGATGGTTTCAAAGGTGTATTTGTATGTCAAAACTCATCACATTGTACATAAATACAACTTTTATATATGTTATATACCCAAATAAAGTTGTTTAAAGATATATAATATTCCTTATTTTTTAAATTTCATACTTTTAAAAGAAATTTATTTGTAGCCTTGTGTCATTCTTGAATTTTGTAGACTATTACCAATGTTATAGTATGTCTTTTCTACTACTCATCCCGAGTCTTGGCCAGTGTCTGATTTTAAAAATCAAAATCTGTCCTTATTACTCGATGTTCTATTTGTTCAGGAGATTCTCTTACTTATACCTGTTTCAAGTTTTAAAAATAAGGGAGAGAAAAGAAAGAGAGCTGGGGTGGGGGGGTGGGGGCTTGGATAGTGAGAGATTCCATTAAAATAGAAGAAACATTGGTGGACTAATAAAGGAGATTAAGGGAGAGTAGAAGGGAAAAACAGTAGAATTTCTTCTTCTTTAAATTTTCACTAATACCCTGAGGTAACTTAAATTTTCAGCACTTTTAATTTGGCATCCAGAATTCCCAAAGTATGTATGTTTACTATTTATGTACTAATTTGTACCCAATTAGACTACATCATAAACTCTACCTCAACTCCAGCTAACATCAAAATAGCCAAGTGTGGGTCAATAGACAAATGGATAAATAAAATGTGAAGATTATATATATATATATATATATATATATATATATATATATCATTTTAGTCAGCCACAAAGAATAAAATTATGTCCAATGGATGGACCTAGAGAACATGTTAAATTAAATAAGCCAGACTCAGTGAGTCAAGGGTTGTCTATTTCTCTAAAATGTGGAAGCTAGAGACAAAAAGAAGAAAAGGGGTCTCTTGAAAATGRATGGAAGACCAAGATGGTAGAAGGGGATCAGAAGAAGGGAGGAGGGAAAAGTAAGGAGAAATGCTCAGGAATGAACCTAAACGAATAGTTATGTACATATATGAATATGCCACAGTGAAGTCCAATGTTCTGTATAATCATTAGGTATCAATAAAAACTGTGAAAATAATAAAGTGGGGATGTTTGTCTTACCTTCACATGTATACATATTTATTGTAAAAATAAAAAACAACTTTATTGGTGGGGCAGGGGAGTTCTCTAACAGCAATCGAAAAAGTCCATCTTTAATTGAATATATTTAGTCTCTTTCTAATGTAGTTCTGAATTCTCACCTGGCTTCTAAATTCAGAAGCCAGATGAGAATTTTCAACATAAAAGAAAACAAAATAGAAAACCTAAAACAGAAAAACCTTTCTTTTAGAAAAACAACTTTATTTTTTTT